CCCCGCGCGCCATGCAGTCGAAGCGGCGCCAGTGACGCAAAGACTGAAACGAAACTCCTCGAAGGTGGAAGTCGGCAGTCCCTTCGTCATCACATCGGTGAACTGTTGTGCAGTCGGAACGTGGAGAACCCGAATACGTCCAAGGGCCACCTGCTCACGCACAAAGTGAATGTCAAGCTCAATGTGCTTAGTCCCGCGACGATGAACGGGGTTGGCGGAGAGGTACACCGCAAAAACGTTGTCGCGATAGACAACCGTAGCCTGGGATACGTCGTGATGCAGCTCCTGAAGTAATTATCGTAGCCAGGTGCACTCAACAACAACGTTAGCCACATCTCGGTACTCAGCCTCCATGCTGGAGCGCAAAACTGTGGGTTGTCGCTTGGACGACCACGAGACGAGTGAAGGGCCGAGGTAGACGCAGTAGCCGGAGGTGGATCGACGAGTGTCTGGGCAGCCAGCCCAGTTCGCGTCGGAGTAGGCCACCATCTCCAGAGAAGTGGACGCCGTGAGGGTGAACCCAAGGGTCATTGTGCCACGAATGTAACGGAGGATTCTCTTCACGAGAGTCCAATGGGAGTCATGAGGGGCGTGCATGTGGAGACACACCTGCTGAACAACATACTAAAGATCTGGTCTGGCGAGAGACAGATACTGAAGAGCACCGACGATAGACCGGTAGAAGGGAGCATTCGACGGTAGCGAGCCCTCAAGAGCAGAAATCTTGGCCTTCGTGTCAACAGGAGTAGCAACAGGGTGACAGTTGAGCATGCCAGCACGCTCAAGAAGCTCATGCGCATACTTCTGCTGATGAAGAAAGAAGCCGTCCGGCCGCCGAACAACCTCAATGCCAAGGAAATAATGTAGAGCACCCAAGTCCTTGATGGCAAACTCGTCACGCAGCCGGAGAGTAATCTGCTGAAGAAGAGCTGCGGAGGAGGCCGTCAGGATGATGTCGTCGATGTAGAGGAGCAAATATGCAGTCGTGTCACTGTGGCGATAGACGAATAGGGAGGCATCCGAGCGAGTGACGCTGAAACCCAGTGTCTGAAGAAACCCGGTGATCCGCTGGTACCAGGCGCGGGGTGCTTGCTTGAGCCCGTAGAGAGACCGGGACAACAAACACACATGGCCAGGAAGAGATGCGTCGACGAAACCGGTGGGCTGCTCACAATAAACCTGCTCCTCAAGATGACCGTGGAGGAAGGCGTTGGAGACATCCATCAGATGAACTGGCCAGCCTCAGGACACCGCAAGCTGGAGGACAGTGCGGATCGTGCCCGGTTTAACAACCGGGGCAAACGTCTCAGTGAAATCAACTCCAGCGCGCTGTTGGAAACCACGAACCACCCAGCGAGCATTGTAGCGCTCAAGTGTACCATCTGAGCGGGTCTTGTGGCGAAAGACCCACTTGCCGGTGATGACATTGGCGCGAGGAGGCCGGGGAACCAGTGTCCATGTACGGTTCTGTTGAAGAGCGTCGAACTCTTCCTGCATCGCCGCAAGCCAGTGAGGATCATGGAGGGCTGCGCGAGCGGACGCGGGAAGAGGAGACGGCTCCGCGGTGGAGGTGGCGAGGAGGTACTCGCCGCTCGAGTACCGCAGGCTCGGACGGTGAACGCCGGTCCTAACCCGTGTAACAGGGCCAGACGGCAACACCGGAGCGGGCGGCGAGGCAGCCGGCAAGGCCGCCGGCGACGGGACCGGCGAGGCGGCGGCCGAGCCTGCGAGTCGGGGGCGGCGGGTGAATGGGGGGCGCCAGCCGAGGCGTCGTGGTCGGCCGAGGAGGCCGAGAGGGCAGGCGCCGGCGTGGGGGCGCGAGACGCAGCACGTCCCACGACGCGAGGACCGCCAAAGCTCGGAGGCGGTCCGAGAGCCGGGCGGGGCCGTCCACCTGACGGAGTCGCTGAAGGGCCGCCGGTGGCCAGCAGCGACGAGGCGACAAGGAGTACCTGCTGCTGAAACGGAAACACCATCTCATCAAAGTAAACGTGTCGGGAGGTGAAAACACGATGGGAGACATGATCATAGCAGCGGTAGCCCTTATTATTAGGTGGGTAGCCGAGAAAGATGCATTCGACGGAGCGGGATGCAATCTTATTAGGTGCAGTAGCGGCGATGCTAGGGTAGCAAAGACAGCCGAAGATGTGAAGCTCATCATAAGAGGGTGGTGCACCGAAGAGGAGGTGATGAGGTGCAAAGTTCCCGTGAGTGCGACATGGATGGATATTAATGAGGAGTGAAGCGGTTGCGAGAGCGTCAGGCCAAAAGCGCGGAGGCACATTGGCGTGAAAGAGGAGAGTCCTAACACGGTTATTAAGAGGGCGAAGGATACGCTCAGCGCGCCCGCTCTGCTGCGAGGTGTACGGGCAGGTGAGACAAAAAGTCATGCCATGTGTGGTGAGGAGAGTACGAACAGCTAGGTTGTCGAACTCCTTTCCGTTATCTATCTGCAATGCAAGAATGGGACGACCAAACTGCGTGAGAACATAGGAGTAGAAGGCGGCGAGAGTGGATATAGCATCCGACTTGCGGCGCAATGGGAAGGTCCACACATAATGCGGGAAATCATCAAGTATGACAAGATAATAAAGATAGCCCATATTACTGGTAACATGAGAGGTCCAAACATCACTATGAATTAACTCAAACAGGTATGATGCAAAATGAGAAGAAGCCCTAAACGGGAGATGGGCATGTTTGCCGAGGCGACATGCATGACACGAGTGATCCTCGTGTTGGGGAACGTAGTAATTTCAAAAAAAAAAATTCCTACGCACACGCAAGATCATGGTGATGCATAGCAACGAGAGGGAAGAGTGTCGTCCACGTACCCTCGTAGACCGTAAGCGGAAGCGTTATGACAACGCGGTTGATGTAGTCGTACGTCTTCATGATCGATCGATCCCTAGTACCGAACGTACGGCACCTCCGCGATTTGCACACGTTTAGCTCGGTGACGTCCCGCGAACTTATGATCCAGTAGAGCTTCGAGGGAGAGTTTCGTCAGCATGACGGCGTGATGATGGTGATGATGATGCTACCGGAACAGGGCTTCGCCTAAGCACCGCTACGATATAACCAAGGTGGATTATGGTGAAGGGGGCACCGCAAACGGTTAAAAGATCAATGATCAACTTGTGTGCCCATGGGGTGCCCCCTCCCCCATATATAAAGGAGTGGAGGAGGGGGAAGGCCGGCCCTCTCTATGGCGCACCCTGGGGGAGTCCTACTCCCTCCGGGAGTAGGATTCCCCCTTTCCTAGTAGAAGTAGGAGCCCTTCCAAGCAAGAGTAGGAGAGGAAAGAAGGAGGAGAGAGGGAGGAAGGAAAGGGGGCCCGGCCCCCCTCCCAATTCGGATTGGGCTTGGGGGCGCGTCTCCCTCCTTTCCCTTCCCTCTCCTCTATTCCACTAAGGCCCAATAAGGCCCATATACTCCCCGGGGTTCCGGTAACCTCCCGGTACTCTGGAAAAATGCCCGAACCACTCGGAACCATTCCGATGTCCAAATATAGGCTTCCAATATATCGATCTTTACGTCTTGATCATTTCGAGACTCCTCGTCATGTCCGTGATCAAATCCGGGACTCCGAACTACCTTCAATACATCAAAACACATAAACTCGTAATACCGATCGTCACCGAACGTTAAGCGTGCGGACCCTACGGGTTTGAGAACTATGTAGACATGACCGAGACTCACTTCCGGTCAATAATCAATAGAGGAACCTGGATGCTCATATTGGTTCCAACATATTCTACGAAGATCTTTATCGGTCAAAACCGCATAACAATATACGTTGTTCCCTTTGTCATCGGTATGTTACTTGCCCGAGATTCGATCATTGGTATCTCAATACCTAGTTCAATCTCATTACCAGCAAGTCTCTTTACTCGTTCCGTAATGCTACATCCCGTAACTAACTCATTAGCTACATTGCTTGCAAGGCTTATAGTGATGTGCATTACCGAGAGGGCCCAGAGATACCTCTCCGACAATCGGAGTGAGAAATCCTAATCTTGATCCATGCCAACTCAACAAACACCATCGGAGACACCTGTAGAGCACCTTTATAATCGCCCAGTTACGTTGTGACGTTTGGT